CATGTTCCGGTTAGTGAGGCAGTTGAAGCAGACTGTGTTGATTCTGAAGAAGAGATGGCATTTCTGTTCCCCAGAGAAATGAATATGGCTTTAGATAAAGATAGTGAAACTTCGGAGCTCCAGGTGGAGGCTCCTTCTAGGAGTGCCGGGCCTCTTGATTCCCAGGGTAGCCAGGCCCAGCAGGGTGAAGATAATGAGGTAACCAGCCTTGGAGATAGTGGAGATTTGATTAGAGAGGACCGTTTGCAATTAAGAGTTCGAAGAAGCGCACGCCTTGCCAACAAGCGTGAAGCTAGAGGTCAACGTAATGCTTTCATGTTGGGGAAACTTATTTAATGATCTGTTCGAAGGGCATTCTCTGTCAGTCCAATGTTGCTTTTACCCTGTTAACGTCTGTGGAATTACCTTGGCTTTTGCGGAAAGCTTCTGGCTCTTTGGGACTTTGATTTTGATCCTGAGTTTTGGAGACTTTGTCTTGCTGCCATGGACCTTTGCTTAACCAATGCTAAAGGATTATTATTTGTTATTGCCTCTGCAACCTGGGAACTTTGCCTTTACATTTAAGACTCTGTATTGCTCATTGAACTTTACTTCTTTATTTCTCTGTTTTGATTTTGCTTTTTTCTCAACTACAAAACCTACAGCCTTGGTGTGTGGTGGTGTCTTGGGCAAGGTGCATCTATCCTGAGTTGCGACACCCATTGACTTAAGGACTCCAACAAATTGCATGATAATAACAATGGTGCGTCTTGGGTCTCGGAGCATGACCACCCAGAAAGGCACCCCATGGTGAACCTGGTCACTTGTTAACAATGGGACATCCTGCCTTCAGGGAAGATCAGGATGTCCCATCCACCTCACTCATTGTCTTTCTACCCTCGGCTGAAACCCACACACAGATAACATCAACTGATCCCATATCCTGAACTGAAGATTATCAAGGCTGGGCAGCCACGCCAGCCACTTTTGTATATTTCACCACTACTGGGCTAGTTTGAGGAATCTCCGGATTATCACTGGCCATCGGAAAAACCATTTAATCCACTCATTTTCCTCTCGGTTCATTGTTTCCCGCTTGTACCGCCTCCTTGATTCCCATTGGCTCAGAAGCCAAAGCGGCGCTGGCTTCCCCATTGACTGAGGCGCATCTAAGCCGGCCGCGCCTTCCTTCAGCTGATGACTCCAGCTGTGATGGTGCGAGTGGCGCCACCTATGTGTAGAACTGTTAGTTGCAAGATTTAAACTGTTGCATCATGCTTAATCCTGCCTTTTTAGCCTGCTTATGTATAGTTGGATTGATTGGTTACTTATAGCTGTCAATCAATATTGTTTGGCTCCACCTCTTCCTGGAGGAGGGGAGTGCTTCCCTTTTCATTCTGCCATCAGAGTTTCTATCAGATGGACATGAGTAAGAGACTTGGCTCTAAAAGCCCCTGATTAAATTACCTCTCAGCACCAATTCTAAGGTTTTTTACCCTTGGGACTCATGCTTTATGTCCAGATCGTCCTGGACAACATTGAGGAGACCCAAGCGCCTTCAAACCAGTTCTTTTGGCACCAGAGGAAGGTCTTGTCCCTTCAGCATAGGCTATTGAACTGGGGTTGTGTTTATTCCGATATTCAGTCTGGTTTCAGGCCTGGCCATGGCACCGAGATGGCCTGGGTCGCCTTGGTGGATGACTTCCGTAGAGAGCTGGACGGGGGGAGTGTGACTCTGTTGGTTCTCTTGGACATCTCAGCGGTTTTCGATACCATCGATCATGGTATCCTTCTGGGAACTCTCTGGGATGGGTCTCGGGGCACGGTTTTGTCGTGGCTCTGGTCCTTCCTGGAGGGTCAATCCCAGATGGTGAAGCTGGGAGACGCCTGCTCGGACCCCTGGCCTTTGACCTGTGGGGTCCCGCAAGGCTCTATTCTATCTCCCATGCTTTTCAACATCTACATGAAACCGCTGGGAGAGGTCATCCGGAGTTTTGGAGTTGGGTGCCATCTCTATGCAGATGACACACAACTCTACTACTCTTTTCCACCCAATTCCAAGGAGGCCTCTCGAGTGCTGGAGTGTCTGACCGCTGTGTCTATCTGGATGAGGAAGAACAAGCTGAAGATTAATCCTGACAAGACAGAGGTCCTCCTGGTCGATCGTAAGCCGGATCGGGGTATAGGATGGCAACCTGTGTTGGACGGGGTTACACTCCCCCTGAAGTCACAGGTCCGCAGTTTGGGAGTCATCCGTACCAGCTGGGACGAAATAAAGTCAACTCGGGGGTTTTTCTTCAATTTGGTGAGACTTGGCAAAGACCCCTAAATTCTTGCTCGCCATCATGATGATGATGAATATCCTTTTTGCCTGGAAAGGACGATGGATGTGCGTATGCATTCACGCAACACATTTCCGCAAAATGAGAAGTTTACCTTTGAGAAGACCGCTTCTTTTGGAGTGAGTTGACTCGCTTCTCGAGAAACGGGGTTTGGATCCTCTTTCCACGCTTCGGTGGCCTCTTTCCAAGGCAAATAGGAGACCAAGCCTTTCTGGCGAAACCTTGAGTGACAAGCAGGAGACAGAAATGTCAACATGTCCTTCAATGTCTGAGACGTGGTTGAGTCGTGGTTGCGACCAGGAACAAGGATCCCAATCACAATAAACACATAATAGAAATACAACTGCAATAACAAGATATTTCCGGGTCAACTTGCCCAAACATTTTTGGGCTGGACTGGGGTTATTCTGACCTACTTTGTTTTAATTCTGCCTTTCGACCGATACCGATACTGATAAAAACAAACAAACAATTGTTTTAAGACATGGAGGAGAAATAGGAGGGAATTGTCTCTGTGGTTCGTACCGTATTTCATGGCAGGTGACGATTTCTAAGCCTGCCATACGATCATAGCAATGCAGGGGTTGGATTGGATGGCCTTTGGGGAGCCCTTCCAAATCTGTGATTCTATCTATGTATCTATCCATCTCTCTACCTATCATTTCTGTCAGTCTGTCCATCCATCCATCCATCCATCCATCCATCCATCCATCCATCCATCCATCCATCTATCTATCAATTTATCTCTCCATCTCTCTATCTATCCTTCTATCCCGCTATCCCTCTATCTATCTATCTATCTATCCCTCTCCCCATCCTATCTCTCTCTCTCTCTCCATCCATCCATCCATCCATCCATCCTATCCTATCCTATCCTATCCATCCATCCATCCATCCATCCATCCATCCATCCATCCATCCATCCATCCATCCATCCATCCATCCATCCATCCTTCCATGCATCCTTCCATGCATCCTTCCATGCATCCTACCATGCATCCATCCATGCATCTATCCATCCATCCATCTATGCATCCATCCATGCATCCATCCATGCATCTATCCATCCATCCATCCATCCATGCATCCATCCATGCATCCATCCATGCATCCATCCATGCATATCTATCTACCCATCCCTCCATCCGTCCATCCGTCCATCCACCCACCCACCCACCCCTCCCTCCCTCCCTCCCTCCCTCCCTCCATCTCTCCCTCCCTCCCTCCCTCCCTCCCTCCATCCCTCCATCTATACCTCCATCTATCTACCTCTCCATCCATCCATCCATCCATCCATCCATCCCTCCATCTGTATCCATCCATCCATCCATCCATCCATCCATCCATCCATCCATCCATCAATCCATCCACCTATCATCTGTCTACCTACCAACCTACCATCTCCTTCTCAGGGAGGTCTTTACATAGTTTTCTGGCCATCTGTCGGGAGGGCTTTGATTGTGCCTTCCTGCCTGGAAGAAATAGGGTTGGACTGGATGGCCTTTGGAGATCCCTCCCAACTTTCACACAATATAGCTTGCCTTAAAGTCTAAAGGAGTTTCCTTCTCAGGGAGGTCTTTACATAGTTTTCTGGCCATCTGTCGGGAGGGCTTTGATTGTGCCTTCCTCCCTGGAAGAAATGGGGATGGACTGGATGGCCTTTGGGGGATTCCTCCCAACTCTAGCACAATATAGCTTGCCTTGAAGTCTAACGGAGTTTCCTTCTTGGGAGGTGTTTACATACTTTGCTGGCCATCTGTCGGGAGGGCTTTGATTGTGCCTTCCTGCCTGGAGGAAATGGGGATGGACTTGATCGCCTTTGGGGGATTCCTCCCAACTCTAGCACAATATAGCTTGCCTTGAAGTCTAACGGAGTTTCCGTCTTGGGAGGTGTTTACATCGTTTTCTGGCCATCTGTTGGGAGGGCTTTGATTGTGCCTTCCTCCCTGGAAGAAATGGGGATGGACTGGATGGCCTTTGGAGATCCCTCCCAACTCTCACACAATATAGCTTGCCCCAAAGTCTAATGGAGTTTCCTTCTCGGGAGGTGTTTGCATACTTTGCTGGCCATCTGTTGGGAGGGCTTTGATTGTGCCTTCCTCCCTGGAAGAAATGGGGATGGACTGGATGGCCTTTGAGGATCCCTCCTAATTCTAGCACAATATAGCTTGCCTCGAAGTCTAATGGAGTTTCCTTCTCGGGAGGTGTTTACTTAGAGTTTGCCTGGCCATCTGTCGGGAGGGCTTTGATTGTGGACATAATGGGAACAGACTTGGGGGTCCCTTTCATGAAAGAGTGGGTGGAGGGGGTCCCTTGCTGCAAATATTTGCCAAGCTGAGCCAGTGCAGCCGCCAAGGAGTGCTGCTTTCGTTTACCTGGCGTTTACCTGGCCGGACAGGTAAGGCTGAAAATCCCTTACGAAGCAAGACAACTTGGCACCAGGTAGGGAGACGTCTCTCTCGCTCCATCGGCCAGGTAAAGAGACACCAGGTAAGTAAGGAGAGCCAATCCTCCCCCACTTTGGGCCTCTCCCTGCCTCTTTACCTGGTGCAGGTGACTTGATCTCACCTGAGCTGTGCAAGGAAAGGCTTTTCTTATACCTGCCAGGCTTCCAAGGAGGTGGGATTAAGAGGCAAGCAGCCAATCGCAGCTGGGCAGGGTGCCACCCCTTGGCACAGGCCCTTTTAATCCCCTCTCCAGCCAGGCAGAGGGCAGGGCAGGCCCGAGGCAGGACAGGACAGGACATGGCTGACCAGCGCTGGGTCCGGCTCTCCACTGACCAGGCCACCAACACCCTCTACGTGCTGGACACCGAGCTCTCCCTGGACGTCTGCGGGTAAGGCTGGCCCCGGGGTCACGGTCGGAAGGAGGGAGGGGACCCCAGAGGTCATCCTGTCCAACCCCAAAGATGGATTGATAGATAAACAAACAGACAAACAGATAGAATTGTAGAGTTGAAGGGGCAGCCAAAGGGCACCCAGACCAACCCCAAAGATAGATAGATTATAAATAGATATTACAGATAGATAGATAGATAGATAGATAGATAGATAGATAGATAGATAGATAGATAGATAGACTGGTTATAAATAGAGATAGATAGATAGATAGATAGATAGATAGATAGATAGATAGATAGATAGATAAGATAGATAGATAGATAGATAGATAGATAGATAGATAGATAGATAGATAGATGCAATCTTGGAGTTGGAAGGGGCAGCCAAAGACCATCCAGACCAACCCCAAAGATAGATAGATAGATTATAAATAGATATTATAGATAGATAGATAGATAGATAGATAGATAGATAGATAGATAGATAGATAGATAGATGCAATCTTGGAGTTGGAAGGGGCAGCCAAAGACCATCCAGACCAACCCCAAAGATAGATAGATAGATAGATTATAAATAGATATGATAGATAGATAGATAGATTATAAATAGATATGATAGATAGATAGATAGATAGATAGATAGATAGATAGATAGATAGATGCAATCTTGGAGTTGGAAGGGGCAGCCAAAGACCATCCAGACCAACCCCAAAGATAGATAGATAGATAGATTATAAATAGATATTATAGATAGATAGATAGATAGATAGATAGATAGATAGATAGATAGATAGATGCAATCTTGGAGTTGGAAGGGGCAGCCAAAGACCATCCAGACCAACCCCAAAGATAGATAGATAGATAGATTATAAATAGATATGATAGATAGATAGATAGATAGATAGATAGATAGATAGATAGATAGATAGATAGATGCAATCTTGGAGTTGGAAGGGGCAGCCAAAGACCATCCAGACCAACCCCAAAGATAGATAGATAGATAGATTATAAATAGATATTATAGATAGATAGATAGATAGATAGATAGATAGATAGATAGATAGATGCAATCTTGGAGTTGGAAGGGGCAGCCAAAGACCATCCAGACCAACCCCAAAGATAGATAGATAGATAGATTATAAATAGATATGATAGATAGATAGATAGATAGATAGATAGATAGATAGATAGATAGATGCAATCTTGGAGTTGGAAGGGGCAGCCAAAGACCATCCAGACCAACCCCAAAGATAGATAGATAGATTATAAATAGATATGATAGATAGATAGATAGATAGATAGATTATAAATAGATATGATAGATAGATAGATAGATAGATAGATAGATAGACAGACAGATGCAATCTTGGAGTTGGAAGGGGCAGCCAAAGACTATCCAGACCAACCCCAAAGATAGATAGATTATAAATAGATATTATAGGTAGATAGATAGATAGATAGATAGATAGATAGATTATAAATAGATATGATAGATAGATAGATAGATAGATAGATAGATAGATAGATAGATAGATAGATAGACAGATGCAATCTTGGAGTTGGAAGGGGCAGCCAAAGACCATCCAGACCAATAGATAGATAGATAGATAGATAGATAGATAGATAGATAGATAGATAGATAGATGCAATCTTGGAGTTGGAAGGGGCACCCAAAGGCCACCCAGACCAACCCCAAAGATAGATAGATTATAAATAGATATAGATAGATAGATCTATCCTAGACTTGGAAGGGGCACCCAAAGGCCATCTAGTCCAACCCCATAAGAAATAGATAGATAGATTATAAATAGATATTATAGACAGATAGATAGATAAATAAATAGATAGATCTATCCTAGAATTGGAATGGGCACCCAAAGGCCATCTAGTCCAACCCCAAAGGTAGGTAGGTAGATAGGGAGAGAGGTAGATAAGGAGAATCCTAGAGTTGGAAGGGATCCCCAAAGGGCATCTAGTCCAACCCCATAGATTGATTAATAAATAAATAAATAAACAGACAGATAGATAGATAGATACAATTCTAAAGTTGGAAGGGGCACCCAAAGGCCATCCAGTCCAACCCCATAAGAAATAGATATAATTTGAGAGTTGGAAGGGACACCCAAAGGCCATCTAGTCCAACCCCATAAGAAATAGATAGATAGATTATAAATAAATAGATATTATAGATAGATAGATAGATAGATAGATAGATAGATATAGATGCAATCCCAGAGTTGGAAGGGGCACTCAAAGGCCATCTAGTCCAACCCCTGAAGATGTATGGATTGATAGAAATAGATAGATAGGTAGATACAATCCTAGAGTTCGAAGGGGTACCCAAAGGCCATCTAGTCCCACCCCTCAAGATGGATGGATAGATAGAAATAGATAGATAGATAGATAGATAGGTAGGTAGGTAGATACAATCCTAGAGTTCGAAGGGGTACCCAAAGGCCATCTAGTCCCACCCCTCAAGATGGATGGATAGATAGAAATAGATAGATAGATAGATAGATAGATAGATAGATAGATAGGTAGATACAATCCTAGAGTTCGAAGGGGTACCCAAAGGCCATCTAGTCCCACCCCTCAAGGTGGATGGATAGGTAGGTAGGTAGATACAATCCTAGAATTGGAAGGGGTACCCAAAGACCATCTAGTCCAACCCCCTAAGAAATAGATAGATAGGTAGATGGGTAGATAGAATCATACTTTTGGAAGGGGTCCCCAAAGGCCATCTAGTCCAACTCCTGAAGATAGAGAGATGGATAGGATTCTAGAGTTGGAAGGGGCACCCAAAGGCCATCTAGTCCAACCCCTGAAGATCCATGCATAGATAGATTGAATCCTAGAAGGCCTCGAGTTGGATTGCAAGCTGTCTAAGTTGGGATGGGTTTGGAGGCCCGGAGGAGGGCTCCCAAGGTGTGCCTTCCTTGCTTGAGATGACGGGTTGGAGCACTCCATCTGCAAGTTAAATTCAGTGCAATTTGGCCCAGCCTTTGGCTGTCTCAGCCCTCGCCCTCAAATGGCTCTCTCCAAAAGAATTCGGAAACAACTCTTGCATTCGCAAAATATAGAATATCTATCTATCATTATCTATCTATCTATCTATATCTATAATTATCTTTCTAATATCTATCAAGCTATGTATCTCTAGCCATTTGTCTATCTATCTTATCTATCTATTGATCTATATCAATAGACAGATAGATAGATATTATAAATAATAGATATTATAGATGGGTAGATAGATATAGATCAATATTATCGATAAACAGATATTATAGATAGATGATATATAGATAAAAATCTGTCATATTGATCTATCTATCAATCAATCATCTATCTATAATATCTATCTATAATATCTATTTATCTAGAATATTGATATATATCTATCTATTCATCTATAATATCTATCTATTTATAATATCTATCTGTCTGTCTATCTATCCATCTACGTATCTATCATTTTGATCTATCTATCATCTATCTATAATATCTATCTATCTATCTATCTATCTACTCTATCTACAATATCTAATTATCTATAATGATCTATCTATCTATCCATCTATCACCTGTCTATCTATGTATCTATCATATTGATCTATCTATCTATTTATCTATCTATATTATCTATTTATAATATTGATCTATATATATATATAGATATCAATCTATCATCTGTCTATCTATGTATATATCATATTGATCTATCTATCATCTATCTATCTATCTATCTATCTATCTATCTATCTATCTATCTATCTATCTATAATATTGATCAAAATATCTATTTCGCCATCTATAATATTTATCTGTTATAATATCTATCTATCTATCTATCTATCTATCTATCTATCTCTCTGTGTCTATCTATATCTATCCAGCTATATCTATCTCGCCATCTATATCTATTTATAATATCTATCTGCCTGCCTGCATCTATCATATCTATCTATCTTTCTATCTCTATCATATCTATTTATTCTATCTATCTATCTATCTATCTATCTATCTATCGTCTCTATGTATGTATCTATCATATCTATCTGTCTGTCTATCATATCTATCTATCTATCTATCTATCTATATCTATCCTATCTATATCTATCCTATCTATCTATCCTATCTATCTATGTATCTATCTATGTATCTATCTATGTATGTTTCTATCATATCTATCTATCTATCTGTCTATCTATCATATCTATTGATCTATCTATCTATCTCTATCTATCTATCTATCTATCTAGCATCTGTTTATTGTATCTATTTTTTCTATCTATCTATCTATCTATCTATCTATGTATGTATCGTATCTATTTATTCTATCTAGCTATGTATCTATGTATCTATGTATCTATCTATCTATGTATCTATCTATCTATCTATCGTATCGTATCGTATCTCTATCTATCGATCTATCTATCTATCTATCTATCTATCATATGTATGTTTCTATCATATCTATCTATCTATCTGTCTGTCTATCATATCTATTGATCTATCTCTATCTATCTATCTATCTATCTATCTATCTATCTAGCATCTGTTTATTGTATCTATTTATTCTATCTATCTATCTATCTATCTATCTATGTATCGTATCTATTTATTCTATCTAGCTATGTATCTATGTATCTATCTATCTATGTATCTATCTATCGTATCTCTATCTATCTATCTATCTATCTATCTATCGATCTATCTATCTATCTATCTATCTATCTATCTATCTATCATACCTATCTATTTAGCTATCTATATCTATCTATCTATCTATCGTATCTATCTACCTATATATCTCTCTCTCTATCTATTTATCTATCTTTCTAAACTATCTATCATATCTATCTATCTACCCATCCATCCGTCATCTATAATATCTATCATTTATAATATCTATCTACCATCTATCCATCTATCTACCATCTATCTCTAATATCTGTCCATCTATCTATGATAGGTAGGTGGATACATATGATGGATAGAGAGATATTTTGACGGCAGGCTCGTGCATAGTCCAATCCCACGAAGGCGTGTGTAATTGGGAAGCGAAGGTGTTCTTTGCGGCCGAGCCCGTGTGGCCTTGGGCGGCCTTGGCTCTGAGCCGGCTCTTCTTACCTGGCGGCGGCGGCAGTGGCGGCGGAGCCAATCTTGCTGAGCGACTTGGCTCACCTGAGCCAAGGAAGGCCCAGACTTCCAACGCCCACGGAGCTATTTGGGCAAAGACACTGATTCAGCACCCGCCTTGCAAAACGCGCAGAGCTGCCGAGCGGTGGCAAGGGGTGCCAAACCAGAGAGCCGTGGAACCCCCCCGTCCGGCCTCTCTGGGCCCATCGGACTCAGGGAAACACTGATTTGCACAACCGATTCTCCGGAACGGTCCCAACCCAAAACCACAAAACCGAGCTCTTGCTCAATTTCCAAGGCTATTCTGAGGCTGTTCCAGCGAAAACAAAGGCCACCTTGAAATCAGAGGATTATTTAATCTTGGCCATTGTTTTAAGTTGCGTCAACTTGTTTCCTGAAAGCTGTTCCAATAGATTATGCAACAGGGAAGGATATCAACACACACACACATATATGTCTGTGTATGTATCTATGTGTTTATACATATTTGTGTGTATATATGTGTGTCTATATATGTGTATGTGCATGAATATGTATAAATGTGTATGCATATATATATGTGTATATACATATATGTGTATATGTATATGCATGTGTATACACACATATATGCATGTGTATATATGTGCATACACATATATATGTGTGTATGTGTGTATACATATATGTGTGTATCTATGTGAGTGTATAGATGTGTGTCTATATGTGTGCATGAATATGTATGTATACACATGTATATGTGTATATACATATGTGTGTATTTGTGTGTATGTATACATATGTTTGTGTATGTATACATATATGTGTGTATCTATGTGAGTGTATAGATGTGTCTATATATGTGTATGTGCATGAATATGTATGTATACACACACATATATATGTATATACATGTGTATATGTGTGTATGTATACACACATATATGCATGTGTATATATGTGTATACATATATGCGTGTGTGTATATATACACGTGTGTGTATGTGCATATATATGTGTATATATACATATATGTGTGTATATATATGTGTGTGTAAACATATGTAGTTGTGTATAGATATGTGTGTATATATGTGTATTTTTATGTGCGTGAATATATATATGTGTATATATACATATGTGTGTATATGTCTTTATATATGTGTGTCTATATATATGTGTATCTTTATGCGCGTGAATATATATGTGTATATATACATATGTGTGTATATGTGTTTATATATGTGTGTATGTATATATGTGTATGTATATTCACATATATATGCGTATATATATATATAGGTGTGTGTATATATATGTGTGTGTGTATGTGCTTATATATGTGTGTGTATATATACAACGCTGGCTCTTCGGCTTAGAAATGGAGATGAGCACCACACCCCAGAGTCGGACACGACTGGACTTCATGTCAGGGGAAATTCTTTACCTTTACCTTATATATATGTGTATACATATGTATGTGTGTGTGCATATGTGTCTGTATATGTGTGTTTGTGTATTGTGTGTGTGTATATATAATGTGTGTATATATGTACGTATGTATGTGTGTGTGTATATATATATGTGTGTGTGTGTGTGTCTATGTGTGTACATATCAATCCTAGGCTGACCCTTCAACCTTCCAAGATATCTAACGTTTGTGGTTTTGCCCCTTCCTACACAGCGCGGCCCCTCCTGGTGCCAAAACCTTTGACGTCTGGGGGTCACCCGGGGTCAACCTGTACATTCTCCACAATGGAGAGGTTGTGAAGGTGCCATCGTGCGTGCCGAGATGGCCACTGACCACCAGGGTGGAGGTCATTGTGACGATGGACAGCCCGAGCACCAAAGTGGACGACGAGAAGGTGAGAAACATAGGCACATGTGTGCATACTGAGCCCCCATGAATTTTGGAGGGTTTTCCTACGGAAGGAAGTCTCCCATCCAAGTCCTAACCAGGGCTGTTCCTGCTTAGCCCCCACTATCCGTCAGGTTCGGGTGCCTTGACGGTCCTTAGCCCCTTGATGTTGAGGCCTGTAAAGCCTCCGAGGATGAGCTTAAGTTCCTTGGGAAAGTTTTGTGCTCATATTCATGGATTCGTGTTCCTGGTTATGAAATCCTGCTTTTGTTTTGATTCCTGACTTTCCATGTACCTTGTTACTTTTGAACAGAACCCTGATGAATCCAGGCCAGAGTGGAACAGTACCACACAAAGATCAGAGCAGGCAACACTGCATTAAGGTGTACACCTTAGTCTTGTTCCACGTTCAAGTCTATGTTTAAGTTCCTTGGGAAAGTTTTGTGCTCATGTTCATGGATTCGTGTTCCTGGTTATGTTTTGATTCCCGACTTTCCGTGTACCTTGTTACTTTTGAACAGAACCCTGATGAATCCAGGCCAGAGTGCAACAGCACCACACAATCAAACAGGAAATAATACTTAAATTATAGTGTTGTTTATTACAAAGATCAGAGCAGGCAARGCTGCATTAAGGTGTACACCTTGGTCTTGTTCCATGTTCAAGTCTATGTTTAAGTTCCTTTGTAAAGTTTTGTACTCATGTTCATGGATTCATGTTCCTGGTTATGTTTTGATTCCTGACTTTCCACGTACCTTGTTGCTTTTGAACAGAACCCTGATGAATCTAGGCCAGAGTGCAACAGTACCACACAATCAAACAGGAAATAATATTTAAAGTGTTGTTTATTAGAAYGATCAGAGCAGGCAACACTGCATTAAGGTGTACACCATGGTCTTGTTCCACATTCAAGTCTGTGTTTAAGTTCCTTGGGAAGGCTTTGTGCTCGTGTTCCTGGTTATGGATTCATGCTTATGTTTTGATTCCTGACTTTTCGTGTACCTTGTTACTTTTGAACAGAACCCTGATGAATCCAGGCCAGAGTGCAGCAGTACCACACYATCAAACAGGAAATAACACTTTCAAACCAGGAACAGWTACGTTTCAATTTTTACATAGTGCAACAATGCATTTGTTTACATCACTCTTCTTTTTGGCAGGTCAGGATTTTGTACTACAAGGAAAATGCAAAGGCAGCCATGGCCAAAGCCAACCTCCTCCTCACCTGCATCCGTAAGTGTGCCTTCCAAAGCGAATGCCTCGAAAGTAGCATCTTAATTGACGTCAATATTGACATCAATATTGTGTTGCACTGTACTTTTTTAGGCTTGGCCTCATGTTAGGCTCACCAAATCCCCATTGGGGAGATGGTGGCGGGGTATAAATAATAATAATAATAATAATAATAATAATAATAATAATAACAACAATAACAATAATTATTATTATCTTGCTGTGTGATTCGAGTTTACTTTGCAAACTTTTGTCCCCCCGTCCCCCCCTTGTTCTTCTTGCAGAAGTTTCTCTGGATGCGGATACGACTCGCACCGGATCGGTCACCAGAAGAGCTAAGAACAAGGTCAGGATGAGATCCCAGTGTCTTGGAACATAGTATAGAAAAATCCCATTGTAGATGTAATTGAGAGTCCCCATTTGGTCCTTCTTTATGTGCTTTGCGGAGAAAGTTGTAATTAACACCTCCCAAACAGAGGACGCCTCCAGGCAACAAAGGCCAGGCTACATCCATGCGGATACCCTCTCTGATTGATTATGCGAATTTTATGGCTGCTCAATGCTATTCAAGCTTGCTCATTGCCAAGTACAAATGTTGCAATTGACATCTCCCAAACAGAGGGTGCCTCCAGGCAAAAACAGCCAGGCTACCTCTATGCAGGCACCCTCCCTGATTGACTTTGCAAACTTCATGGCTGCTCAAGGCTATTCAAGCTGGCTCATTGCAAGTGTGAATGTTGCAATTGACACCTCCCAAACAGAGGGTGCCTCCAGGCAATAGAGCCCAGGGTACCTCTAGTCAGGATACCCTTCCTGACTGACTTTGCAAACTTAATGGCTGCTCAATGCTATTCAAGCTTGCTCATTGCAAGTGTGAATGTTGCAACTGACACCTCCCAAACAGAGGGTGCCTCCAAGCAACAGAAGTCAGGCTACCTCTATGCAGAGACCCTCCCTGATTGACTTTGCATCCACACAGATACCCTCTCTGATTGACTTTGCAGCTTCATGGCAATAATGCTATTCAAGCTTGCTCATTGCCACGTGTAAATGTTGCAATTAACACCTCCCAAACAGAGGGTGCCTCCAGGCACCAGAACCCAGGCTACTGACATGCAGAGACCCTCCCAGATTGACTTTGCAAACTTCATGGCTGCTCAATGCTATTCAAGCTTGCTCATTGCCAAGTGCAAATGTTGCAATCGACATCTCCCAAACAGAGGGTGCCTCCAGGCAAAAACAGCCAGGCTACCTATATGCAGATACCCTCCCTGATTGACTTTGCAGCTTCATGGTGACTCAATGCTCATTGAAGTGTGAATGTTGCAATGAACATCTCCCAAAGAGACCCAAAAACAGATGTCAGCTGTCCCAAATAAAGCTCAGGGTGAATCCTTTGCCTTCTTGAGATGGAAATATTCAAATATCAGAGTAAACCTTGCTGTTTCTTTTTTGGTCTTTGCAGAAAAAATGGACTTGGGGCCCGAACGGCAGCGGAGCCATCCTCTTGGTCAACTGCGACAGGGACGACCCCAAAGCAAAAGACATGGACAACGCGGACCAGCGGCTGCAGAGCTTCATGGGTTGGTGGACCGCTTCTTTGTGCGGTCATTAGCCGGGAGATTCTA